GTCCCTCTCTAAAGACCTGTCTCTTCTTACAACATGTCCAAAATATGTCAGGCAAAGCCCCAGAATCCTTGCCTCCAAGGAGCAGCCTGGTTTAACCCTCTCTAGGATGAATCTGTTTGTTTTCTTGGAACCCAGGGGAGGCTTAGTCAAGGCAAATGTTTGCTTTTAATAAAAAATGAGTATGCCAAAATCACCACCCCCATCTCACAAGACCCTCTTGGCAGTAGGTTCGATGTTGGGTTCTTAAAACAAACAAAACCTACTTTAATCACTCTGGTGGTGACTATTGTGACTATGATTCCCCATATAATGTAATAATTTTGTGTACTATATATCCTAACCTCAGTGATGTTAATGAGGCAAGAACAGAGGTAGTTATGTGGTGATAAAATTATGTCTTATTGATATAGGGAAGTCTCTGTAGAGTTGTGGCCCACATTGAATATACATGTATTCTATGACAAACTTAGCTAGCTTTTTGCCTCCATCTGTTTCATCTTCTTGGAACTTCATCTTCATCCCAGGCCTTACCTGTAGACCTTGGATTCATCAGCATCCAAACGCAGCAGTCTGCTGCCCTGTCTGCCAACTTTGGACCTGTCAGCTTCTGAAGCTATCTTTCTGCTGATAATTGACACATGAACCTGAAAATTGCCAGAGTCTGCAAGCAAATGAACCATTTCTTTGAGAGAATTTTCCCCCTTTTCTCTACATATATAAGTTTCATTAATTTTGCTTCTTTGGAGAACCCTAAAACTAAGAGACTCATCAAATCCAAATCTGTATAATTTAACCTTATTTATCTTCCCTATATATTTAACTTTTTCCTAATAGGTATTGCTTAGTCTTATAAAGGCTTTCAATGAAGAATATATTAAAGATACATAGAGTTTCATAAGTTACAGATGTTTGTTTTGCCTGCACAGTCCTGAACAGAGATGAATCAATATTTTTTTTAAAAAAAACGCAGATAAAAAAAAATTAAATTATCAGTTCTGTATGGTTCTCTGCAATATTATTTTGAATTAACACAAATTAATTTTGCTAAGTTAGGTTTGGGGTTGAAAGTAGGGTGTGGCTTTGCTCGGGGCCTTGGCTTTAAAAAGGCTTTTGGGCCCTCAGGCCTATAGGCCGGGTTTTTTGTTTTGTGGTTTTTTTGTTTTGTTTTTTTTTTAGGTCTGGTTTTTGTAGATCTCCTGAATAAAACAGGCTTGGAAACAGTGGGATTGGCATCTACTTTCAAAAAAAAAAAGCTTGGCTTCAGAAACTGTATGAACTTGGAGAAAAGATCAAAGTTTTGTGTTCAAGACTTTCACTCATAGGGTCGCTATGGGTTGTCTATGACTCTATGGCACTTAACAACCACCACCACCAAAGAGTAGATATACTTTCCATTTCCACACAGTTATTGTCACAGAATACAAAGTAGAAGATTATAGCAATGTGATTAAATAAGATTAGATTTTACTTGTTAGCATTAATATTTCTGGCATAAAAAAAAGATATTTTTTTGTTTCCTTAAAACAAAAACATTTTTTTTCCCAAGGTAAAAATGATTGACTTACCAGATATGGTTTAGGTATACTGCCAGTAACTGGGCAACATTTCCAGTTTGTTTGATACAAACTTAAATATCCATCAGCATCGACTATTCCAAACTGAGGAAGAAAATGTTTTAAAAATTTTTAATATAGAATGTCATATTTAGTATTTTACTCTTGTTATGACTTATATTGACTATTATAAACATGTGACAAATTCATTTATTTTTCCACTTCGTCTATGCTATGATTTATAAAATTACAATGTAGACATGAGAGATACAAATGTCAGGCAAACAGTCTATTAAACTAACTCCCTTACAAAGAGTTAATTCTCAGAGTGACTCTTTATTGGATTTCAGAGGAAGAGGAGAGTTCTCATTTTTCTCCTGCAGAGTGGATTCCAACTGCTGGAGAGGCATGACCTAAAGGTTAACAGGGCAATATGCTAATAGAAAACACTATATGGAGATATATATGTATCTATACCTAGATATTTTCAAATTTTGGTGTATTTACAAGATGGTGTAATCCTTAGAAGTTGTGCTGCCCTGGAAGTGTTTCTCAGGTGGTTCAAATGCACCACTGGGTTCAGTGGAGGAAAGATGGACAATATCCTTTTATGTGATTTACAGTGTCTACTATTCCATTCTGAATTAATGGAAATGGAGATGAAGATCTCTCTTTATCTCCATGTGTATATATGCATATTTACGCACAACATACAGTGTCTATCACTAACTCACTTATTACTATTGACTCATAGCCGATGCTTCAGTAGCTTCTGAGACACTAAATGATACTGCTAATCTTTCCCCTGTGAAGCAGCTGGCGTCTACAGATATATTTTAACATAAATATAATTTTATAAATGTTGTTGTTATGTACCATAGAGTTGGAACCGACTCATAGCTGGCCCTACAGCTCAGTGTTCATGTATATTTGGATTTTCTCTCCTGTGCTGTTATTCATAGCTGAGGAAGCAGTTCATCCTTGAATGATGAATAGCTTCAGCTAAGTAGTGGCATCAGGTATTTACATGGATACCTGCAATACTAAACATGTTGTTACAGGGTCAGCCCAGTAATTCAAATTCATGTTGTTGAAGGACCAAAAATACTGTAAAACTCAACTGTGTTTCATTCAGAGTCAACTCATAGTCACCCCCCTTTATTGAGTTTCTAAGGCTATAAATCATAAGAGAGGTGAATGCCTGTCTTTCTCCTGAGGAACAAGTGGTCAGTGGCATGACTATGCCATCAGGGTTTGTCCTGCAATGGGCAACTATAAGTTTTATGTAGTTTTTCATTCCAACCCCACTCTGTGTTGTTTAAGAGTCAACTATAAATATTCTTCATTTTTGTACTTTGAAGTATTACACTACAATTATTAAATGTTTCCTTAACAGACAATTTTTAATTTTCTGTATTATTAAAAAAGTTGTTGATTTTAATACAAATATCTTTGACTATTTTCAATTGAACAGGTAATAAAAAAACTTTCAACAACAAAAACAACAAAGCCCTGGACCAGATGGCTTTACAAATGAATTTTATCAAACATTGAGAGAACTGTAATCAATTCTACATAATGTATTTCAGAAAACAGAGAAAGACAGAATTCTCCCAGACTCATTCTATAAAGCAAACATATCCTTGATATCAAAGTCAGGAGAAGACACTACCAAAATAGAAACATATAGGCCAATATTTCTCATAAACAGAGATGCAAAAATCCTGAATAAAATCCTGGCCAATAGAATCCAACAAAACATTTTTTTTAAAAAAATCACATGACCACGTGGGATTCATAACAGGTATACATGGATAGTTCAACATGAGAAAAACAATCAGTGTAATTAATCACATTAACAAAGCAAAGAACAAGAATCACATGATCCCATCAATGGATGCAAAAAAGTCCTTTGATAAAATCCAACACCCTTACCTGATTAAAACACTCAACAAAATAGGAATAGAGGCGAAATTCCTCAAATAGTAAAATGTACATATGTAAACCCAAGAGCCAACATCATTCCTAATGGAGAGCAATTAAAGGCATTCCCTCCAAGAACAAGAACTAAGCAAGACTGTCCACTATCAGCTCTCCTACTCAATATTATATTGCAAGTCTTAGTGATAGCAATAAGACAAGAGAAGGAAATAACAGGTATCCAAACCTGGCTTCAAATCGAAGACAAGCAGTATTAACCCATGAGAAGGCAATCCTGGAGTGGAAGTCTAAGAACAAGGACTTTTTCTCAGAAACTTACAGGAAAAGAAGTTGCACATTACAGTTGTACTTAACAACTTTAAATTGAAGTCATATTGGCTGCATCATAGAAGACTGACAGCAGCACGATATGTTCAGAATCCCAGAAATACTGATAGCTTGAGACTTAGGCCATCACATCAGGGGCTGGTCAATGGGAGATGGGTGTTGAATACTGTAGACAAAAGTAGGAAGGGATGGTGGTGGATGAAGGAAAGGGTGGATAAAAAAACAAAACAAAACCAAAAAACAAACCAACAACAGCAACATGTAGTGGGGGTGGGCAGTAACACTGAATCTATTGGTCATTTTTATAACTGGGCAAAAGAAAAATTAAAAAAAAAATAACTGGGCAAAAGTCTTTCATCTGTTGTTTTCTTTTCTTTTTTTAATTTTATTATTTTTGTGTGAGAGTACCGTCAAATCAGATCTGACTAGTACAGAAGGAGATTGTTCCTCCTTCCCCCGGCAGAGGATCTGGTGGATTCAAACCGTGCGCCTCTGTGATTGTAGTTGCAGCTCCTTTCCACTAGACCACCAGAGCTCCCTTTCATCTGTTGTTTTCTACGGAATGTTTGTCACATGCTATTATATATATTTAAAGATTGAGACAGACTAGGAAGAAGGATTGGACATTCACTTCTGAAATGACAGGTCTTCGAAAACCCTATGTACAAGAGAGCACACTTAGACTATCATTTGGACCAACAGACATGGCAATGGGAACTAAAATCTTAGAAATGGAAACACAGAGGAAGAGGAATAGCTGTAAGGAGACACTAGTGATTGGAACGTGGAATGTGAGAAGCATGAATATAGGAAAATTGGACATTGTTAAGAAAGAAATTGGCAAAGAGGAGGTAAAATTATCTCTATACGCAGATGATATGATAGTATACTTAGATAACCCCAACTCAGTGAGAAAACCGCTGGACATAGTTGACCAATTCATCAAAGTGGCAGGATACAAGATCAACATATGAAACCAATTTGATTTCCCTACAGTGACAAAGAGAATACAGAACTGGATGGAGCTAAGGAGAACGATACCCATCACAATAGCTAATCACAAGATTAAATACCTGGGAATAAATCTAACCAGAAACACAAAAGACCTATTCAAACAAAATTACAAAACATTACTACAAGAAACAAGAAGAGACCTGGAGAAATGGAAGAATATACCATGCTCTTGGAGAGGAAGACTCAATATTGTGAAAATGACAATTCTACGAATGGCAATCTATAAGTTGAATGCAATCCCAATACAAATAAAAATTCCATTTTTTAATGAGATGGAAAAGCCAATTTGTACTTTCATCTGGAATGGAAAGAGACCGAAAATAAGCAAAGTACTCCTGAAAAAGAGAAATAAGGTTGGAGGTATCTCAAGCCCTGATTTCAAATCCTACTACACAGCTGTAGTGGTCAAGATAGTGTGGTACCAATACAGTGACAGATCAATGGAATAGACTTGAGAACCAAAATATTAGCTCATCTACCTATGGTCACTGTATCAAAAGGAACTGGAAGATACAGAAGAATTTCATGAAACAACATATGAGCAAGAGCCTACGGTGATGAAAGAAGTAGTTCAGGCTGCTTTGAAGGAAATGGCAAAAAAATAAGGCTCCAGAAATAGATGGTATACCAATTGACATATTTCAGTTAACACATGCTGCCATGGACGTGCTCACCAAGTTGTGCCAAGAAATCTGGAGAACAACCACTTGGCCAACTGACTGAAAGAGATCGATATTTGTTCCTATCCCAAAGAAAGGTGACCCAACAGAATGTGGAAACTATAGAACAATCTCACTGGTTTCACATGCAAGCAAGATTTTACTGAAGATTATCCAAAGATGATTGGAATAGCACATCAACAGAGAACTACCAGAAGTCCAGGCTGGGTTTAGAAGGGGTTGTGGTACTAGGGATATTGTAGCTGATGTTAGATGGATCTTGGCTGAAGGCAGGGAATACCAGAGGAATGTTCTATCTGTGTTTCATTGACTATGCAAAGGCATTTGACTGTGTAGATCATAACAAACTATGGCTGACTCTGAGAAGAATGGGAATCCCAGAACACTTGGTCATTCTAATGCGAAACTTATACTTGGACCAGGAGGCAGTCATCAGAACAGAGCAAGGGAACACTTTATGGTCCAAAATTGGGAAGGGCGTATGCCAGGGATGCATCCTATCTCCATACCTTTTCAACCTATATGCAGATATATGCAGAACAGATTATCCGGGAGGCTGGGCTCTATGAGGAGAAATGTGGGGTCAAGATTGGTGGACGATTTATCAACAATCTGAGTTATGCGGATCACACAACCCTGCTTGCTGAAACTGAAGAGGACCTGAAGCGCCTACTGCAGAGAGTCAAGGACTGCAGCCTACAATATGGATTGAGGCTCAATGTCAAGAAGACAAAGATTCTCACCACTGGACCAATTGGCAGCATCAGGATGGATGGTGAAGAGATTGAGATTATACACAGCTTTAGTTTGCTTGGCTCCACAGTCAAGAGTCTTGGCACCAGCAGCCAGGAAATTAAAAGGCGCTTTGCAATGGGAAAGTCTGCTGTTAGGGACCTCTCCATAATACTGAAGAGCAATGGTGTCTCTCTGGAGACTAAGGTGCGTCTGATACAGGCCATGGTCTTCGCAATCACCTGGTATGCATCAGAGAGTTGGACAATGACCAAGGAGGATAGAAGGAGAATTGATGCCTTTGAGCTGTGGTGCTGGAGAAGAGTATTGAGAATACCATGGACTGCTAGGAAAACAAACAGATTTGTCCTGGAGAGGGTTAAACCGGGTGGCTCCTTGGAGGCAAGGATT